TAATATTTGAGAAGAGACCCACGCTTTTCTTTATAGTAATTTAAATAGTAGTGTATAATTTATTTTCTACTTTTTAGTGCATTAGTACATAAAAGCTTGTTATTAAAACGTTTTTTTTAATGCATTTTTTTCAGTACTTTACATGTTTTATTTACAATAGTGTTACAATGACAAAAAACCATTGCGCGTCTATCGAGCGTGATGGCGCAGCTATTGAACTTTATGGCGCAGCTATTGAACGTGATGACGCGTGTGGTGTGGTTGGATAGACATGCCTACTAATTCGGTCCAAATTTAAATTAATTCATAAAAAATTAATTAGACATCCAATTAAGTCAAATTTAGTTTCAAATTGCATTGCATGTCTTGACCCACGTGCCAACTGTGAATCGTATCGGTCAAGTAGAACTGTCCGAATTTTTTCTCCGGCGTTTCGATCTAGACAGATAGATAGACAGACAGAGGAAGTGAGTTAAATAAAAGCTTGTAATAAAAGCTTGTAAAAAGCTTGTAAAAATGTCATTTCGTCACGTTTTAGATTCGCTTGTTTCTAAACTTTGGACCTGAATTCCAGCGACATTGGCACTTTTGTGAGCAGATCAAACACTATTTAAAAGTTGAAGAAATCACATCCAAACTAAATATCATTTAATCTGTATAGTATATATTCCTGCGGGCATATGGGTGGATTTATGGCTATATGTCTCAACTCTACTGCTGCATAAAGTGATCCTAAAGATAGTTAACTCGTCTGGTGTTGGTTATGTTGGTGGTGGGGTAGGTTGGTGGTGGAGTAGGTTGGTGGTTGTGTGAAGGTAATGGGGAGAGAGTGGTGTAACGTTCTAGTCCTTAATTATCGGAAGATCAAAGACCAGTTCTATAAATAGATTGTAATCAATCTTAAGCAGCTCTGTGTTGTCTAAACTAAGAATTTATCTTTCGTGTATTTGGAGTCAGTATCGATTCCTCAATGGATTGGCGTAAAAAGTCAAGAAAGGATCGATACCTAAGCCAGAGAGGTCGCCATCTCCTGTAATACACGAACAATTTAATGGCCGGCAGGTGGCGCGCAGCTCCAAAGTTCACACGACATCTCAGCAGGAGGGGGAAATTATTTTTTTAAGATCCTCTTGTGTTTGTTTTGACTGTTGGTTCCAATCATTTCAAGTTGACATTCAAGGAATCTATTTGAAATTAACATTTGAAAATGTATTTTAAATGGATATTTGGAAATTGTATTTAAAGTTACCATTTGAAAATTGTATTTGAAGTTAACATTTGAAAATGTATTTGAAATTAACATTTGAAAATTGTATTTGAAGTTAACAGTGTAGTTAGGATTGTATTTAAAGCTAGTTATGTTCTTAAGACAAAAACCTAAATATATCCCTACACATTTCTACTCAACATCTACCAAAATGTCACAAAAATATCCCCAGAAATGTCCCATGAAATCCCCATAAAAATTTGGCTGTTCCATCTTATTTTGGGTGGGTTAAGTCCTCTAATTTGGGTGGGTTAAGTCCTCTAATTTGGGTAGGTTAATTCCTCTAATTTGGGTAAAGTCCTCTAATTTGGGTAGGTAAAGTCCTCTAATTTGGGTAAAGTCCTCTAATTTGGGTAGGTTAAGTCCTCTAATTTGGGTGGGTTAAGTGGTCTAATTTGGGTGGGTTAAGTCCTCTAATTTGGGTGGGTTAAGTCCTCAAATTTGGGTGGGTTAAGTCCTCTAATTTGGGTGGGTTAAGTCCTCTAATTTGGGTGGGTTGAATCCACTAATTTTGGTGGGTTTAGTCTTCTAATTTGGGTGGGTTAAGTCCTCTAATTTGGGTGGGTTAAATCCTCTAATTTGGGTGGGTTAAGTCCTCTAATTTGGGTGGGTTAAATCCTCTAATTTGGGTGGGTTAAGTCCTCTAATTTGGGTGGGTTGAGTCCTCTAATTTTGGTGGGTTTAGTCTTCTAATTAGGGTGGGTTAAGTCCTCTAATTTTGGTGGGTTAAGTCCTCTAATTAGGGTGGGTTAAGTCCTATATTCCTAACTAAACAACGATAAATGCGTCTTGTTTTGGCTCTTTATCTCCAGCACGCAACAAGCTGAAATGTTTGCGTTAGTCTGTGAGATCTGCTCTTATATGGCCTTGAAAAAGTAATCGGCTATGACATGCGTTCGACTGCAATGGGGACCCTTGAACGGGTGGGCGTTGACACTTTTTAGTGAAGCGGTGAGGAGAAATGATTGAGTGCAGGCGGGAAAACATTTCAAAGGGTAATGACTCATTGAAAATTTCCCAATTACGACACCCCTGGCCCACCCCTCTTTCCTCTAGCCATTACCACAAAAACCTTTTTGCGATGCTAAGACTCGGCTCTGGCAATCTGGTGGCCCCACTCTGGGATGTCCAGTATTCTCGCTCACAGCGTGGCCGATGTGGACACCAGAAAATTACAAAATGACCGTTTTTAGCCGCTGGCCGTGGGCTTTTTGTAGTGTGGCCTCACGCAGCTCGACATAATCTCACGGCTCCTGCAGCTCTCACGGCTCCTGCAGCTCACGCGGCTCCAGGATTCGCTGGCCAAAACTCGCCCGCGGGAAAAAAAAAGAGAAAATAGCCGAGCTGGGGTGAGAGGGGTGTCCGCGAGTTAGCGACAAGAAATCGTTGGGCCGCCCCACTCGCCTTGTCGCGCTAAAAAGTTGCTCGGCGCTGAGAACAAGTTGTCTGCCAGATTTCTTTTCATTCTCGAGTGGCCAGTTTGTCAGTGAGTGTAGATCGTTACGTCATCATTTGCTCCCAGCAGTCATCAGTTTGCCCCAGTCTCCAAAGTTGTTCAACCAAAGATTCACACGTAGAAGGGAGGGGGAGGGGTGGAGCCACATTGAAAATGACGTCACATTCCAATTTTTATTAAACAAACACACAAGTCTCCTCCGCACACACACACACACACACACACACACACAAGGCCCTCTTAGTGCACACAACTGTTCAACTCACACAAGATATCATCTTGCTCCTTACACAAGATACGTATCTACACCCACAAGATATCTAGCTCCACCCACAATATATCATCTTGCTCCTCCCTCAAGATACGTAGCTCCACCCACAAGATATCTAGCTCCTCCCACAATATATCTTGCTCCTCCCACAAGATGCGTATCTCCTCCCACAACATATCATCTTGCTCCTTCCACAAGATATCTAGCTCCTCCCACAATATACTAGGCTCCCCCCACAAGATATTATCTTGCTCCCCCCACAAGATATCATCTTGCTCTTTCCACAAGATATTATATTGCTCCCCTCCCCCACAAGATACTTAGCTCCACCCACAAGATACGTAGCTCCTCCCATAAGATATCATCTAGCTCCCCCCACAAGATATCATCTTGCTCCCCCCACAAGATATCATATTGCTCCTCCCATTGATTACTATTTCTTTAATGACATGTTTCTAGCTAGATCTTATTTTGACATTAATGTTTTTGCACAACAAATAAAACAAAATCATAACATTTTGATGTTATGTGATTGTGAAGGAACACCAACATTTGGATGGTATGTGAAGTTACCATAAGAGAGTGGTTCTTAACTTGGTTTCGATCAAACATTGGGGGTTCTTGTGCCCGACAACTTAGCTCTGCCCGACAAGTTAGCTCTGCCCGACGACTTAGCTCTGTCCTACAACTTAGCTCTGCCTTACAACTAAGTTCTGCCCTAAAACTTAGCTCCGCCCTACAACCTAGCTCTGCCCTATAACCTAGCTCTGCCCTACAACTTAGCACTGCCCTACAACCTAGCTCTGCCCTATAACCTAGCTCTGCCCTACAACTTAGCACTGCCTTACAACTAAGCTCTGCCCTACAACTAAGCTCCGCCCTACAACCTAGCTCTGCCCTAAAACTTAGCTCTGCCCTACAACCTAGCTCTGCCCTAAAACTTAGCTCTGCCCTACAACTAAGCTCTGCCCTACAACCTAGCTCTGCCCTACAACTAAGCTCTGCCCTACAACCTAGCTCTGCCCTAAAACTTAGCTCTGCCCTACAACTAAGCTCTGCCCTACAACCTAGCTCTGCCCTAAACTTAGCTCTGCCCTACAACTAAGCTCTGTCCTACAACTAAGCTCTGCCCTAAAACTTAGCTTCGCCCTACAACTTAGCTCTGACCTACAACTAAGCTCTGCCCTAAAACTTAGCTCCGCCCTACAACCTAGCTCTGCCCTAAAACTTAGCTCTGCCCTACAACTAAGCTCTGCCCTACAACCTAGCTCTGCCCTAAAATTAGCTATGTCCTACAACTAAGTTCTGCCCTATAACTTAGCTCTGCCCTACAACTAAGCTCTGCCCTACAACTAAGCTCTGCCCTAAAACTTAGCTCCGCCCTACAACCTAGCTCTGCCCTAAAACTAAGCTCTGTCCTACAACTAAGCTCTGTCCTACAACCTAGCTCTGCCCTAAACTTAGCTCTGCCCTACAACTAAGCTCTGTCCTACAACTAAGCTCTGCCCTAAAACTTAGCTTCGCCCTACAACCTAGCTCTGCCCTAAAACTTAGCTCTGCCCTACAACTAAGCTCTGCCCTACAACCTAGCTCTGCCCTAAAATTAGCTCTGCCCTACAACTAAGTTCTGCCCTACAACTAAGCTCTACCCTACAACTAAGCTCTGCCCTAAAACTTAGCTCCGCCCTACAACCTAGCTCTGCACTAAAACTTAGCTCTGCCCTACAACTAAGCTCTGTCCTACAACTAAGCTCTGCCCTAAAACTTAGCATCGCCCTACAACCTAGCTCTGCCCTAAAACTTAGCTCTGCCCTACAACTAAGCTCTGCCCTACAACCTAGCTCTGCCCTAAAATTAGCTCTGCCCTACAACTAAGCTCTGCCCTACAACTAAGCTCTGCCCTAAAACTTAGCTCTGCCCTACAACTAAGCTCTGCCCTACAACCTAACTCTGCCCTAAAATTAGCTCTGCCCTACAACTAAGCTCTTGATGTATGTGCTCCACAGGCGATAGACTCCTGGACATCCCTTGTAAAGTCTGTGGGGACAGAAGCTCGGGCAAACATTATGGGATTTACAGCTGTGATGGTAAGTCCGCTGGTCACTAGCTGACCACTCCATCTTTAAACTGACATGTCAATATTTGAGCTGACCACTCCATCTTTAAACTGGCATGTCAATATTTGAGCTGACCACTCCATCTTTAAACTGGCATGTCATTATTTGAGCTGACCACTCCATCTTTAAACTGACATGTCAATATTTGAGCTGACCACTCCATCTTTAAACTGGCATGTCAATATTTGAGCTGACCACTCCATCTTTAAACTGGCATGTCAATATTTGAGCTGACCATTCAACCGTTAAACTAACATGTCAATAGTTGAGCTGACCATTCATTCTTTATAAATTAATGCGCTTACCTTTTTTAGGATGTTCTGGTTTCTTCAAGAGAAGCATCCACAAAAACCGCGCTTACACGTGCAAGGCGCAGGGGCCGCTCAAAGGTCGGTGCCCAGTCGATAAGACCCATCGCAACCAGTGCCGTGCATGTAGACTGACCAAATGCTTTGACGCCGAGATGAACAAAGAAGGTAAAGGTAGATCACTCTCATTGCGTCTCGTCTGCTACGTCTTCCCGCCCAGAGCTAGCCGCACGTGCTGATTGGAAAAAATGGCTTCAGTGTCTACTGTTGTTACAGTTATTGGTCGAACTCAAATGATTTCATAAATTTTTACTTCCGTTCGTTGCTGTTGTACCTTGGTGTACGTCAGATAGAAACGCGCCAGATAACCCTGACCCAGACCCTAACCCTGACCCTAACCCTGACCTTAACATTTTCTAGTGTAGTCAATAATGTTTGTGAACTAACCCTTAAGCCTAACCATACTCGCTGTGTTGTAAACTGAACTTGGCCCTACGCTTAACCACATTCGATATTAGATTTGTTGACTGACCTTGACCCTAACTATGTTCTATGAACAGCCGTTCAACACGAGAGAGGTCCACGAAAACCAAAAGCCAAACCTGGCCAATTGCTGATAGAGCCACGCGGCCAGAATTCACAGGAGCGCCCAATTGACTTGAGTGTGGCGCCCCCGTGCCGACTCACGCCCCTTCAGTACCCACATGACGTCACCATGGCACCATCCACCATTTACCAGGAACCCCAGCTCTTCATGCTTGGCTACGTCAACAGATGCAGTGACGTCACTCGCCTACAGGTGAACGAATATAGGACGATATTTTTACGATTTAAAGACAGTCATCCCTTATGTCTCTTTTTACAAGCTTTTATTTAGTTCGCAACGCCTGTTTGTTGTTTTTTTGGTTTTTTGCGGGATTGTGGCAAATCTTGTAACTCACTTTTGACACACTTCCAAAGCAGAGATTTCGTTCAAACTTTCCAGATACAATCCACTTGGATGACAACACAAGTCTATTTTTTAATTCAATTAGATTTTTAATTAATCATTAAAAATTAATTAAGCGGTTTCAAAAGTAAGGGGAGATAACACAATTAAATCATTCGATAGATTACTATATTTAATAACAGAGGGGGAGATAACTAGCTAGAGGCGTTCACCCTGACAGCCTGCTGAGCTGTGGTTCACGAGAATGTGTACAATCGAAAAGCCGGTCGATCTAGTGAAGGATATTAGCATATAATTTCTTTTTAAATTATTTGAGACTAAGGAGAACTAGTTGGATTAAGAACTACGAGCTGACCCGCGACGTAGTATACGCCGCCATCTAGTTGTTTTATTTTCTGCTTATCAGCAATTTATAATTTGTGAATTCAACACTACCCGCTCCCTACCCTCCCCCCTCCCTCCCAGTGAAAGCAGCCGTTTACAGACAAATAAAAGATCAATCAGAAATTGTTACCTCCCCTTCGTTTCAAACCGTTTAATACTAAATTATCTGGCACTAATAGCCGTCACTAACCCGGCTCAACGATTGTAAACATTCGGGGTGAACCACAGCTCACCTGACAGGTGGGGATGAGGGTGGTGGCTAAGCTGCGTGGTGTTTTCTATGGTCTCCATAAAGAGAATTATATATAACGAGCCGACCCGCGGCATATCATACGCCGCTATTTAGTTGTTTTATCTTCTACTTTTCAGTAATTCTTAATTTGTGAATTCGACAGGACCAATGCCGCCACTGAAAATATTTGCTTTGAAACACTATCAGTAGGTCGTTAAGGACGATACTACCCCACCCTCCTTTCCCCCAACCCCTACCCTACCCTACACCCCCCCCCCCCCCCCCCCGTGAAAGCAGCCTCCTCTTAGTTACCTCCCCTAAGTTTAAAATCGTCTCAAACTAATTATCTGCCCCTAATAACCGTCATTAAACCCGGCTCTACGAATGTAAACATTTAGCGTGAACCACTGCTCACCAGACCATGTAGGAGTGGGGTGGTAGGGAGCGCGCTTACACTTGTTTTCTAATGTCTCCCAGAAGAGAATTTTATATATATATATATATATATATATATATATATATATATATATATATATATATATATATATATATATATATATAATAATAGTTTCGCTGTCTGTCTGACAAGAACGCTCTGTCTGTCTGACAAGAACGCTCTGTCTATAATAATAGTTTCGCTGTCTGTCTGACAAGAACGCTCTGTCTGACAAGAACGCTCTGTCTGACAAGAACGCTCTAGAGAAAACACAAGCAATTTAAAAACATGCACAGTAATTCGAAAAACGAAATATGACGTCGACACATTTAGCGTAGAGTAGAACATAATCTCAAACCAGAGAGTGCACACAGTAATGTAATGACGTCATTGATTCTCGCGTAAACATTGAAAAAAAGAAAATGTCTAATCTAAATGGTTTGCGTGAAGAGTTTCTTGCATACAATTCTTCGGGTAGGGGCGAAGCCCCACCCCCCGCGTAAGAACGTCTGAGCCCCCCCCCCCCCTCCCCAACTCAAAAGAAATTTCCTCATCGATACTCTATAATAAAATTACCGCCTAATTAATGTGTCTAATCTAAAAAGTGGTTTTCTTGCAATGGGACGGTAGACATGTTTTTTTTTTTGGGGGGGGGGGGGGGGGTGGAGGGGTGGGGGGGGGGGGGGGTGGGGTGGTGTGTGGGGGGGGGGGGAGGGGGGTGGGGGGTGGTGTGTGGGGGGTGGTGTGTGGGGGGTGGGTTGGTTTCAGTGTTTCTTTCAGACTTTTTCCTCCCCGGAGAGGGGTGGGGGTACTTGAAATTTTCGGGGGCGGGGGTAGAATTTTCTGGGAGGGGGCGGACACTGGAAAAAGTATATAATTATATTTCGTCGAATGGGACGGTAGACATGTTTTTTTGGGGGTGGGGGGTGGTGGAGGGGTGTAGGGGGGGTGGTGTGTGGGGTTGGGGGTGGGGGGTGGTGTGGGGGGGGTGGGGTGGGGGGGTGGGGGGGTGTGTGTGGGGGGGGTGGGTTGGTTTCAGTGTTTCTTTCAGACTTTTTCCTCCCCGGAGAGGGGTGGGGGTACTTGAAATTTTCGGGGGCGGGGGTAGAATTTTCTGGGAGGGGGCGGACACTGGAAAAAGTATATAATTATATTTCGTTGAATGGGACGGTAGACATGTTTTTTTTGGGGGGGGCGGTGTGTGGAGGGGGTGGTGTGTGGGGGTGAGGGGTGGGGGTGGGGGTGGTGTGTGGTGGGGGGGTGGGGGTGGGGGTGGTGTGTGGGGGTGGGGAGGGGGGTGGGGGGGGTGTGGGGGGGTGGGTTGGTTTTAGTTTAGAGAAAAGAGACAGCACTATCAGCCTAGCGCCCGTTGTACCCTTCCTCAACGGGCCATTTTTCTCGTATATATATATATATATATATATATATATATATATATATATATATATATATATATATATATATATATATATATATATACACGCAGAGACGTCACAATAGGTGCAGAAAGTGAGGACCGCACCGGTAGAAAACAACTAGGGGTGTGGTACCAAAGCAAAATTTTGCAAAATACATAGGGGAAAAATTGTTCCCGGTTCAATCAATGATAAGTTAATTATGTCCGTATATCTGTGTGTGTGCGTGTGTGCGTACATACGTGGGTGGGTGTTTATGCATGTGTGTGTGTGTGTTTGGGTGTGTGTATGAATGTTTGTGTGAACCCGATAACTTGAGTATCTTTACAGCTTGATGAAAATTCACATTATATCGAATTTTTAGTTCTGTATAACTTTTCAGCGATTTCCGGTAACCAGAGGTCGAACGTATTCTCTTTTCGGTTTTTCAAAAGACTATAACTTGAGTACTGTTTCAGATAGACGAAATTTCACAAAAAAGTAAAAGATCTAATTTTCTTAAATTCTAATGATTGATTTCCAGTGACCGGAAGTAGTTATTTGTGCTATTTTGGATACCTAAAAAAAGACTATGAATTCAGAAAGTGTTAATGTTCCGCACTACCATACACACATTTTTTGCTGTTCACCTGGTGCGCTATTATTTTTTCCACTATTTTCTACTAATTTTTAAAAGTTTAACCATGTAAAAGTTGATTAAAAGGCATGTCTATATCATAACATCCCCGGTTGTAAGATTGCATTGTTATCGGGTCTTGACCCACGTGCCAAGTTTGAGACGAATCTTTCCGTTAGATGTGATCGAAATTTCGCTCGGCAGTTTCGATCAATGCCGAGAAAAACATGACAGACAGATGATTAACAGACAGACAGACAGACAGAGAAAGCAAGTTAAATAAAAGCTTGTTAATTAGAATTGCTCATCAAAATTGTTAAAAAATATCAATTCTTATGGTTTAATGAGCAATAAAAAAAGCGTAAATACTACTTTCCTTCACCAGAAATCGTTACAGGAATTTCGATAATAAGATCTTATACCTATGTTTGAAATTTCGTTAACGCAACTGAAATGCCAATTTTGTTATCGGTACTTTAGAAACCGGGAATAGAGTGCAGAGTTACTCAAAATTTGAGTGAATTCCAGGTATAAGATTTGAAACTTATTTCAAATTTCGTCATCCGAACTGGACCAGTAATCTTTTTGTTGTGTTCCCACAGTGTACTTCTAGTGACGGGAAATCCTTCAAAATTTCATAGAAACCTATGCATACAGCCTGAAATTTAAATTTGAAATTTCGTCCACCTAACTTCAACGATATGCAAGTTAAAAGCTCTTGAGACCCGTACTAGTGGCACTTCAGGTTATAAAACTTATATTAGAAATGTCGTCAATCTTAATTTACCGGTATTTCAGATGTCGTATTTATACACAAATACACACATACACTAATACACATGCACGCAGAAAGAAACACACACACATACACATACAGACGGACAGGAATGCAAAAGTCACGTTTTCCGGCTCCGTAATGGTTTTTTGCACTTTGAGCTTTAAATGAACATGCATCCTTTATATTCCGTATACGACAATGTAGGGATGAGTAAAACTGCGAAATCTGTCAAAATTTAATATGTGTGCAGGATGACAATAGAGTCCTTTCATATGACGTCACGTCCGTTCGTGATACCTACGTCCGCCGCCACGGTGGTGTACACCAGACGTAAACACAATCAGCTGTTCGCCAGCACTGGACGCGTTCACTGTATGTAAAGAACCGCACCCGCGAAAAAGGAAAAAAAACGTTAAAAAACTTGAAATCTTTGAAATTGAAGATCCTTATACTGTTATTGACAGTTTCGTGGATAGTATAAATATGTGGCCAACATTTCTAAATAAAAATACTGTTAGTAATACTGTTTGCGTTTAGAGTTTAAGTAGACGAATCTGATCAAATGCAGTTCTCGATACTTTGTTTCAGGTAAGGACAGTAAAATAATAAACTTCATTTTAATTATAAAAGATAACGATTAATAAAACAAATATGCTCGACCTTCACAAATACTAATAGTAAAAGACAAAGGCAAAAGTAATAATAAGAATAATAAGATCTAATAGTAGGCCTAATAATAGTGTTTTAATATCTAGATCTAGAATCTAGCTCTAAACATGGCGTAAACAAAATTCGAACCACAGATCTAGATTCTGGATTTAGGGTGACTGGCTCCGCTGGGTAGACATAGAATCTAGAATCTACTTCTTTACTTAAATTTAATTACAAAATTTAGATCTACATTCGATTCAAAATACACCCATAATAAATCAAAAGTAGTCATAGTAGGCCTAACAATAATAAAGCATATAATTGTCTCTAAGATCTAAAATCTCGCTCTACAATCTAATCATTTTTTTAGCAAACGAAATTTTCTGAAATTGAAATAGATTGTATGACTAGACTTAGATCTAGAATCTGCTACTTAAATTAAATTTTAAAATTTTTATACAAGCATGTAATTGATATTATTGTAGTAGAAGGCTTTAATAAATTACTAAGGCCTACCTACTTTGTGTCTTTTTTACAGCAATAGGTATCTGATACTGGACTGAGTTTAATTAAATTAAAATGCATATCTAGTAATTAGTCTATTAAGTTTATGTAGCCTAGTAGTAGAATCTAGATCATACCAGCCAACAACAAATAACCACATTATTATTATTTGGTTAATGATTAGGCTAATTTTTTTCAATCCACTGTTTATAAAAGAAACAAATCAAGCTAGAAACATTATTATAAGACTGAGATGGTTTAGAATAATAACAATGGACCCAGTCTACAATTGATACAATTGCAGGTCTACATAGGGTCTACAGTCTAGTAGTTTACAGTAGACACCTAGTGTGTCGCTAGTATACTAGTGTGTAGCTGTCCAGAGTTAAGATTCTTTCCCCTGATAAGCCGTGTGTGCTATAAATGACATAACATGACATCGAGGTGAGAAATGTTGAGGGGAGAGCAGTGGGACTTTCCCCTTTGTTCTCCCTGCTGGGCCCTGAGGGTATCACGGAGGTGAGAAATTTTCAGGGGAGGGCAGTGGTACTGACTCCTCTTTGGTTTTATTGTGGGCTAAAAAAGGTGGGGCTGGCCATCATGAGGGTTGAACATCAGTATTAATGTGTCTGTTCACTTCTCTGCTGGATTACAAGGGTCTTAAATTGTATAACATGCTACCCAGATTGCCCGAGATCTAAGAACAGCAGTGGTTATTACCCATGAATTATATTAGCCGTTGTAGTGTGGGTTTTGTAGGAGTTAAGTGGTCTCAAGTTTGCTACAGTAGTGTGGTTGTACTAGATCTATTGCTACTAAATCTTGTACTTAACAGAGAATCTATAATCTACATTAACCAGATTTAGATAACCTATAATATACCTACTTAAACTCTAAACGCAAACAGTATTACTAACAGAATATTTATTTAGAAATTTCGGCCAGATATTTATATTATCCACGAAACTGTCAATAACAGTATAAGGATCTTCAATTTCAAAGATTTCAAGTTTTTTAACGTATTTTTCCTTTTTCGCGGGGGCGGTTCTTTACATACAGTGAACGCGTCCAGCGCTGGTGAACAGCTGATTGTGTTTACGTCCGGTGTACACCACTGTGGCGGCGGACGCAGGTATCACGTGATTTAGGTCACGTGTTTGCAAGGACTCTATACATCCTCTATATTTGACACGTGAAAGTCAAATAAAACAAGTGAAGTTAATCCTTGTAACAGTAAAAGAATAAATCAAGTTCCATGAAAACTCACAGAACTAACACTAAGAGGAGTGATGGCGCAATATTTCTACTGCACTCCTTTAAAAATAAACCGGGAGTGATCTCCTCTAAACTTTCTCGAATATTCTTATATAACACTACGGAGGATGGCAACTCGGGATATTGACATGATTTTAAATTAATTACTTAAACTTTTTTATAATAGAATAGAATCTCGTAGAAAAAAGAATTGCCTAGCAACTAAACGCCAAATAAAATGTGTATAATAGTGCGGAATATTATTAGTACTTTATAAATTCACATGCGTTTTTTGAGAAATCGGAAATAGCCTAGATTACTACTTCCGGACAACGGAAGTTACTCAAAATTTGACAGAAGGCAGAGATTTACATCTTTTATTTATACGTGAAATTTCATTTATCTATCTGAAATAGTACTCAAGTTATAGGCTTTTGAAAAATTGAAAGTAGAAAAAGTTCTACTTCCGGTTATCGGAAATCGCTGAAAAGTTGATACAGAACTACAAATTTGATATAATACTTATATATGAAATTTCATCAACCTAGCTGTAAAGGTACTTAAGTTATCGTGTTTACAGACACACATACACACACACACACACACAGACATACGGACAAAATTGCAAAACTATGTTTTTCCGACTCAGGGAGGTGTAAAACGTCGAGATTTTTTAAATCTCTTTTTTTTTTTTTGCACCATTACAATACTTCCTATATACTTAGTATACGTGAAAGTAAAAACACGATTCAACATAAGACAGCGACATTGTCACAGAATAGGTGTTGATCATTCTCATACACATAAGGTGTTGATTATTCTCATAAAGCAATGCTGACTTTCAAATTCCAGGGACCTTCGGCGTTTACCCCCAGCCCCCTGACCCAGCCACTGATGACGTCATTTCACCAGGATCTGCTGCAGGAAGTGATGGCCCGGCTCTTGTTTACTGTCGTCACCTGGGTCAGACACATCCCTGCGTTTGTCACACTCACCCCAAATGATCAGGTGAGACAGACGGGTGTGTGAAGACAGCTGATACATGGTGTGTGAAGACAGCTGATACATGGTGTTTGAAGACAGCTGATACATGGTGTGTGAAGACAGCTGAGACAGACGGGTGTGTGAAGACAGCTGAGACAGCATGGTGTGTGAAGACAGCTGAGACAGACGGGTGAAGACAGCTGAGACAGCATGGTGTGTGAAGACAGCTGAGACAGACGGGTGTGGGAAGACAGCTGAGACAGCATGGTGTGTGAAGACAGCTGAGACAGACGGGTGTGGGAAGACAGCTGAGACAGACTTGTGTAACAGGTTAAATTATACAGGTTTAAAAAAACACAATGACTCCCATTTCATTTGTAATTTTAATCTGCTAGTGGGCAGATACACCCAGAACGTAGTTGCAATACTAAATTAACTGGGAGTTATCTCCCCTAAACTTTCTTGAATATTCTTATATAACACTAAGGGGGATGGCAAATCGGGATATGGACAATATTTTAAATCCATTTTTAATTACTTAAACTTTTTAAAATGGAATAGAATCTCGTAAAAAAAAAGAATTGCACACCAACTAAACGCCAAATAAAATGTGTATAATAGTGTGGAATATTATTAGTACTTTATAAATTCACATGCATTTTTTTGAGAAATCTGAAATAGCCTAGATTACTACTTCCGGACAACGGAAGTTACTCAAAATTTGACAGAGAATTACATCTTTTACTTATACGTGAAATTTCATTTATCTACCTGAAATAGTACTCAAGTTATGGGCTTTTGAAAAATTGAAAGTAGAAAAAGTTCCACTTCCGGTTATTGGAAATCGCTGAAAAGTTGAGATGGATCTACAAATATTATATAATACTTATATAAGAAATTTTATCAACCTAGCTCTAACGGTACTTAAGTTATCGTGTTTACAGACACATACACACACACACACACAGACATACGGACAAGATTGCAAAACTATGTTTTTCCGACCCAGTGAGGTGTAAAACGTCGAGATTTGCAAAAAGCTCGATTTTTTTTTGGCACTATTACTATACTTTCTCTATACTTCGTAGACGAGTTAAGTAAAAATGTACCAAAAAAACTATTAGTGAGACTTAGACCTACAGATGCCAAATTTGGTACCAGAATAGCTTACATGTTCTTTTATATGGCAAATGTAAAGAATAAGTTTATTAATGAAGTAAAGAGGTTTTGAGTTTTAGCACATCTCAACAATTTTCATCAGAAACATTACAAGAACCAACATTTTCTAAATTAATAATAAAATTTTTACCATGTTATACACGGACACAAATCCAATGTTTATGGCAAATCGTTAAGTATCTTGATCATATTGTGCTGTATTTGACTTGTAAGTTCTAACTCTATACATTACCTGTACAATATGTATACTAGCATTCTTATTACTAACACCAGAATCAATATGTAAAGTTTAATCTTTATTTTTATAGTAGCAACAAAGAAGTGCAATATATTAGGATTTATTAGCCTATAGTTAATCATCATAGTCTAATTGCGCTGTACCATATTCAAGTTCACTATTAATAGTTTTCCTCTAGCTATGTTTATTTTACTTGCATGTTTTTATTTTTTACATGCTCTAGTCCTAATATATAAAGTTTCATGATGGTATATGGAATAGCAACCTAGCTGTGCAGTCTGGAAATCCTCTTATGACAGTCACTATAGAACAGTGCCACACCCCTTAATTTAACTTCATTATTTCTAGTTACATCTTTTCTGATTTTTATTTTATTTGTAGACTTCTATTGCCTATATCATTGAGTACAAATGTGCAAAGTTTTATCATTATATCTTTAATAGCAACATTGGTATGCAAGTTAAAAGCCAATCACACGTCTCGAATGCAGGTTACAATGAAACATAACAACTTAACAAGTTAAACACATAACTTTGAAAATTTATATAAAAAAAAACTATTAAGCCTAGAATGATAAATTTGGTATTTTTATCATATACTATAGGATTAATCTGTGTCCATTTTATCATTCTATGCATTGATAATTATTAATTAGGAAAAATTTCCCAATAGGCAGTAAAGACTTAGTATTTCTCTCTAACTTGGATGCGTGGTCGGTTGCTAACAACAATATGGCGCCCGGACCGGACGTCTGATTTCCGGTGATTTTTCGGCCAAATTCCAGAGACCTTCAACTAATTACATTTAAAAATGTTTACCACGCGCAAAATGGTGGGATTTCCGTGTCATAACAACAAACCATAAGTGGCAGGGTTAGATATGCCAGAAAAGCATTTTAAAATTTGGTTTGGAGAACGGAGGCTAAATTCAAAAGTTGGTTTCATTAAAATTAATAGAATTTAAAAAATATCAACAGTGTAGGTACAGAAATGAGCGAGAACGTAAAGCATTATTAGTTTTATCAGTCTATGAAAAAAGAAATCAAATATTGTGAGCTGTTTTTTTATAAGACCGGCGTCCGTATCACAACCAATTTATTTTTATTTTTTAAAAACCACGTGACCGCTATTTGGTGATCACTAGTGAGGAACTCTTGTGCATGGAGTCTAACCTGATTTGTGGTTTTCTTTAGCTTCAAGCTTAAGAAGAGTTGTCATGGAGAGATGTGTTGGACATGGTAGTGATTGACAATAAATATTAAATTAACTAATTTAGTTCAAAACGAACTAAAAACTCCAAAGTTAGTGCCTAATGGATTAAATATGGATGTCTATTATTCAGTGGTCATGTTTAAGTTGATAATCGCGTAAATTCTAGATTTAGTGAGAAAAACTAAGTAAAGTAAATAGTCAAATAGTAATAATTAGTAAATTAGTAAATTACTAATACTAGCCGAGGTCAAATTTACGTACTTAAAACGATAGATTACCCAATCTTTTATGCTTAGAATACTTACTTTCTATACTAATACTAGATCTAGTATAGTACCTTAGTACCTCAAAACAGCGACGACGGATAATAATAAACCAAAAATTGATTGAAATGTGTCATCATTTCATTTCAAGAACAATAATATAAATATTTAATAGGAAGTACCTTGAAGTAGGGAGTAGTGAATTATTCTAATAGTTAAGGGAGTGTTTATTGTTTACATTTATTATTGTATCGTTCATTACCTAGTGTTGTAAAAGGCATGCCGTCCGACATTTTCACCATTTTTTACATTCTGACGGACTACCCCTACCCACTTTAGAAGCTAATAACTAAAAAAACTACTTCACTCAGTCCAAATTAATGTATACAGACGGATAGAGGAATGAATTCTGAATAAAATAACATTCACCATTTAACAATATTCGGAAGAAAAAAAAACGTTTTTTTTTCGATTATTCTGGGTGTATATGCCCCCTGCCCAACCAATGTTATATGAGTGTTAAACCAATGTTATATGAGTGTAAAACCAATGTTATATGATTGTCCAACCAATGTTATATGAGTGTAAAACTAATGTTATACGAGTGTAAAACCAATGTTATATGAGTGTAAAACCAATGTTATATGATTGTCCAACCAATGTTATATGAGTGTCCATCTAATTTGAAACCGACAGATTCTGCTGATGGCGTCAGGCTGGAAAGAGTTGTTCCTCCTAAGTATTGTTCAGTGGTCGCTGCCCATAGAGCACCTCCTGGCTAGAGATGACCTTGCGTCAAGCAGTGCTGACCTTGAAGAAGGCATCAACGTTTGCGAGATGATTGCTAGGCTGCGCGAAGTTTCGCTCGACCCTACGGAGGTCACTTTTCTCAAGGCCATAGCACTCTTCAAACCAGGTCAGAAACCGGGAGGGTGGGGGGTATGTATGTCAGATTCTTGATAGGGAAGTTTACAGGGTTCCTTTCCGACATTTTTTCAGGGGTGGGGGGTGGGGGGCACTAGGAGCTTGGGGTGGGGTTGAGAGTTGAAAAGTTGATGTATAAGTGTGGGGGCGGCAGAGGCGTAATAACCGGCAGATCCCATTTAGGGGGCCCAAATTCCGACCAACAACAACAAAGTAATTTTTTTGCACCTTGATAGACTAGTAGTTTTGTAAATTTAAAACAGCGTGTCTACTAAAGCAGTGATTTGTTCTACAATAAGGAAGACACACTATTGTATAGACAAATCAATTTTATGTGCTGCAGTGTGAAAGATGGGCAAACCTTCAAACAACTTCCTTTACTTATTGCTCTTCACTGCTATAAAAAGAAATCTATCCTAAACTATTAATATAAATGCAAAAAAAAAAAAAAAAACACGGAAAACCGGTTCCCAGAAAGATGCGCAACGGAAAAAGCGCAACAGAAAAGGCGCACAAAAAAAAGCGCAAACAGAAAAATGCACAACCAGTAAAAAAAGCGAAAATAGAAATGCGCACACAGAAAAAAAAGCGCAAACAGAAATTTGCTCAGACAGAAAAATGCCAACTTAAAATGCGCAAACCAAAAATTGCGCTGAGAGAAAAATGCGCACACAGAAAAATTCGCAAGGAGAAAATTGCGCAAAGAGAAAGATTATTTCATCATAATTTTACAAACTTTTTTTTTCTGGTCGCGCTTTTTTCTGGTTGCGCTTTTTTCCGTAGAGCATTTTTCTGGGAAACCATACCACACGTGAAACCTCAGTTGTTATATAATTTTGACCGGCATGTCAATTACGAAGTTATGATTTTCACATTTTACGACGGCTATAAATGAAATAACGTTATAAAACACAATTATACCTGTCCTGCAAGAGTCAGCGCATATTTTTTGTTCTCTCACGTTGGATGTATATTTTGTAATAAAATAGGTTCATTTACTAAATTAGGAAAAAGGTTAAATAATTAATTTAACATAAACACACACACACACACACACACATATATATATATATATATATATATATATATATATATATATATATATATATATATATATTGCGGGGGGGGGGGGGGTTCAACTTCCGCCATTGGGAGTGTGTGATATAAACTTGATGTTGGCGTAAGCAGGGAATAACGTGTCTTAAGACGTGTTAGATGTATCAAACTAATGCTGTTTTAGAGATGGTTTTATTCTAACCCTAAGACTAACCCTATGAGCGACTAGATGTGATTGCTGGAACTTTAAATGGGAGCTAACCCTCCAAACAGAAATCACTGCGATAGACTGAGTTTCGTCCCTTATGTCCCCAGACGTGAGTGAGCTCCACGACCCCCGCCATGTTCAGACGGTCCAGGAGCAGGCCCAGCTCATGCTCAGCAAGCACGTGCAGCTGACCTACCCGCGTCAGATGATTCGGTTTGGTCGTCTGCTCATGCTGCTCTCACGGGTGCAGACGGTCAGTCCAGCCCTGGTCGAGAGGATTTTCTTCAGAGGTCTCCTAGCCACGCCCACCATCGAGAAACTCATCGGCAGCGTTTTACAGGGAGATTTTTTATGACTCAACCAACTAAAGTCGTATGACTCAACCAACTTAAGTCGTATGACTCAACCAACTTAAGTCGTATGACTCAACCAACTAAAGTCAATATATATCAAATAAGATATTTGTTAATAGGAATGTACACGTTAAAGTTTAGATATAAATATAAAAATATGTGTGTATATATCTGTCTATATATATATATATATATATATATATATATATATATATATATATATATATATATATATATATATATATATATATATATATATATATATATATATATATATATATATATATATATATATATATATATATATATATATATATGTGTGTGTGTGTGTGTAAATATATATATATATATGTGTGTGTAAGTATGTATGTGTGTTAGTGTGTGTATTTGTGTGTATGTGTTCCTGTTGAGCTTACACCAAACTTGTGACATGGCAGCAATTGGTGTGTGGCACGTTCAATTTGTGACAGATAAAACGTTTGAAGTAATGTCAGTGTGTGGCCAAGGTTTGTGTCAGTGTGTGGCCGAGGTTTGTGTCAGTGTGTGGCCAAGGTTTGTGTCAGTGTGTAGCCAAGGTTTGTGTCAGTGTGTGTCAGTGTGTGTCAGTGTGTGGCCAATATTTTTGTGTCAGTGTGTGTGTCAGTGTGTGGCCAAGGTTTGTGTCAGTGTGTAGCCAAGGTTTGTGTCAGTGTGTGTGTCAGTGTGTGGCCAAGGTTTGTGTCAGTGTGTGGCCAAGGTTTGTGTCAGTGTGTGTGTCAGTGTGTTGCCAAGGTTTGTGTCAGTGTGTGGCCAAGGTTTGTGTCAGTGTGTGTGTCAGTGTGTGTGTCAGTGTGTGGCCAAGGTTTGTGTCAGTGTGTGGCCAAGGTTTGTGTCAGTGTGTGGCCAAGGTTTGTGTCAGTGTGTGTGTCAGTGAGTGGCCAAGGTTTGTGTCAGTGTGTGTGTCAGTGAGTGGCCAAGGTTTGTGTCAGTGAGTGGCCAAGGTTTGTGTCAGTGTGTGTGTCAGTGTGTGGCCAAGGTTTGTGTCAGTGTGTGTGTCAGTGAGTGGCCAAGGTTTGTGTCAGTGTGTAGCCAAGGTTTGTGTCAGTGTGTGTGTCAGTGAGTGGCCAAGGTTTGTGTCAGTGTGTGGCCAAGGTTTGTGTCAGTGTGTGTCAGTGTGTGGCCAAGGTTTGTGTCAGTGTGTGTGTCAGTGTGTGGCCAAGGTTTGTGTCAGTGTGTGGCCAAGGTTTGTGTCAGTGTGTGTCAGTGTGTGGCCAAGGTTTGTGTCAGTGTGTGTGTCAGTGTGTGGCCAAGGTTTAAGTCAGTGTGTGGCCAAGGTTTGTGTCAGTGTGTGGCCAAGGTTTGTGTCAGTGTGTGTGTCAGTGAGTGGCCAAGGTTTGTGTCAGTGTGTAGCGAAGTTTGTGTCAGTGTGTGGCCAAGGTTTGTGTCAGTGTGTAGCCAAGGTTTGTGTCAGTGTGTGTGTCAGTGTGTGGCCAAGGTTTGTGTCAGTGTGTGTGTCAGTGTGTAGCCAAGGTTTGTATCAGTGTGTGTCAGTGTGTGGCCAAGGTTTGTGTCAGTGTGTGGCCAAGGTTTGTGTCAGTGTGTGGCCCAGGTTTGTGTCAGTGTGTGGCCAAGGTTTGTGTCAGTGTGTGGCCAAGGTTTGTGTCAGTGTGTGGCCAAGGTTTGTGTCAGTGTGTGTCAGTGTGTAGCCAAGGTTTGTGGCAGTGTGTAGCCAAGGTTTGTGTCAGTGTGTGTGTCAGTGTGTAGCCAAGGTTTGTGTCAGTGTGTGTGTCAGTGTGTGGCAAGGTTTGTGTCAGTGTGTGTGTCAGTGTGTGGCCAAGGTTTGTGTCAGTGTGTGTGTCAGTGAGTGGCCAAGGTTTGTGTCAGTGTGTGTGTCAGTGTGTGGCAAGGTTTGTGTCAGTGTGTGTGTCAGTGTGTGGCCAAGGTTTGTGTCAGTGTGTGTGTCAGTGAGTGGCCAAGGTTTGTGTCAGTGTGTGTGTCAGTGTGTGGCCAAGGTTTGTGTCAGTGTGTGCGTCAGTGTGTGGCCAAGGTTTGTGTCAGTGTGTGTGTCAGTGAGTGGCCAAGGTTTGTGTCAGTGTGTGGCCAAGGTTTGTGTCAGTGTGTGTGTCAGTGTGTGACCAAGGTTTGTGTCAGTGTGTGTGTCAGTGTGTGGCGAAGGTTTGTGTCAGTGTGTGGCCAAGGTTTGTGTCAGTGTGTGGCCAAGGTTTGTGTCAGTGTGTGGCCAAGGTTTGTGTCAGTGTGTGGCCAAGGTTTGTGTCAGTGTGTGTGTCAGTGTGTGGCCAAGGTTTGTGTCAGTGTGTGGCCAAGGTTTGTGTCAGTGTGTGTGTCAGTGTGTGGCCAAGGTTTGTGTCAGTGTGTGTGTCAGTGTGTGGCCAAGGTTTGTGTCAGTGTGTGTGTCAGTGTGTGGCCAAGGTTTGTGTCAGTGTGTGTCAGTGTGTGGCCAAGGTTTGTGTCAGTGTGTGGCCAAGGTTTGTGTCAGTGTGTGTGTCAGTGTGTGGCCAAGGTTTGAGTCAGTGTGTGTGTCAGTGTGTGTGTCAGTGTGTGGCCAAGGTTTGTGTCAGTGTGTGGCCAAGGTTTGTGTCAGTGTGTGTCAGTGTGTAGCCAAGGTTTGTGTCAGTGTGTGTCAGTGTGTAGCCAAGGTTTGTGTGAGTGTGTGGCCAAGGTTTGTGTCAGTGTGTGGCGAAGGTTTGTGTCAGTGTGTGGCGAAGGTTTGTGTCAGTGTGTGTGTCAGTGTGTGGCCAAGGTTTGTGTCAGTGTGTGGCCAAGGTTTGTGTCAGTGTGTAGCCAAGGTTTGTGTCAGTGTGTGTGTCAGTGAGTGGCCAAGGTTTGTGTCAGTGTGTGGCGAAGGTTTGTGTCAGTGTGTGGCCAAGGTTTGTGTCAGTGTGTGTGTCAGTGTGTGGCCAAGGTTTGTGTCAGTGTGTGTGTCAGTGTGTGGCCAAGGTTTGTGTCAGTGTGTGTCAGTGTGTGGCCAAGGTTTGTGTCAGTGTGTGTCGAAGGTTTGTGTCAGTGTGTGTGTCAGTGTGTGGCCAAGGTTTGTGTCAGTGTGTGGCCAAGGTTTGTGTCAGTGTGTGGCCAAGGTTTGTGTGGCCAAGGTTTGTGTGTAGGTTGTGTGTCAGTGTACCTAGCCACATATTTGTTTTATTTGGGTTTGAATGTCCTTTTTTATCTTTTTGCAGCGTTTTATTTTAGAGAACAATTTAGTGCTCATAGGCATAGTCAAGACTTCGACATTTTATTTTGGTCGCAAAATTGCATGCACTAAAGTCGTAATGTTATTAGACCATATTTTATTAGTATGTGTTCAGCTTTGGAAAACATTTTGTTTTAGGGGGTCATCCGTTCATGACAACACTTTTTGACAACTCTTAACACCCCCCCCCCCCCCCTCCCCCATGGGTATAGTGTATGTAAAATAAAAACGAGTCAACTACAGCAAATATTTTTTTTTAAATAAAATAAAAACCAAGGCAAAATACATGAAATTAACATTGTATTTTTAAAATTATATTTTTAATAAAGCTCAGCTGTGAGCACCTGCCCTTCCCTCTGGGTTTAGCGACTTGGTAGTTATGCCTCTAAGACCAGCAGGTCGAAAAAGGCAAATATGTACATAGCCTATTATTAAGGTCTAATAAGCATATTTGTAGTTTTTTTAAATATATATCTATATAAAGATATGCGTGTTTGTATGTTTATTCATATGTAGGTATACATGTCTTAGTTTATCAAATGTATATAATGTATCAGCTTTAATTTCTCAAATGTATATAATGTATCAGCTTTAATTTCTAAGACAAAGAGAGCACTGAAGACGTGTCTGTTAACTTTAAGCGTATGTGTGCGTGTTAAATTTAGATGTGTTTTCTCCAATGGTCCCGCACTAGGAAGCAGTTGATGGTGCACCCAACTATCTGTGTTAGTTCCTTCTATAGCTGACTAAACGGTTGCTAGACTGTAGATGGTTAGCCACTGGTAAGTTCATGTCAAGTACATAACGAAGGTTCAGTGTTCTTTCACTCGGAGAAATGTGTATGACGTCACCACAACTGTAGGTCTACCCCCATAATGTCAACAAGTGGCTATGTTGTATGGCTATCGTTGTTAAAAACAACGGGAAAGTATTCTGGGATGTATGAAACAACAAAATGTCGTTTATTTATTTTTTTATTGTAGCTATAGACATGTCAAAAAGGTTGTTTTTTTTCTATACAAATAGATTTCAAATTGTAAAAGCACCATGATAAACATAATAAAAGTCAAATCACAAAATAAGGCAAACTCTGATACCAACTTGTAACCCGCACCTAATTATGTCTAACTCTAACCCACATGAATAGCTTTGTATTTCTGTCTAACCCTAACTTGGTCCCATATGAATAGCTTTGTATTTCTGTCTAACCCTAACTTGGTCCCATATGAATAGCTTTGTATTTCTGTCTAACCCTAACTTGGTCCCATATGAATAGCTTTGTATTTCTGTCTAACCCTAACTTGGTCCCATATGAATAGCTTTGTATTTCTGTCTAACCCTAACTTGGTCCCATATGAATAGCTTTGTATTTCTGTCTAACCCTAACTTGGTCCCATATGAATAGCTTTGTATTTCTGTCTAACCCTAACTTGGTCCCATATGAATAGCTTTGTATTTCTGTCTAACCCTAACTTGGTCCCATATGAATAGCTTTGTATTTCTGTCTAACCCTAACTTGGTCCCATATGAATAGCTTTGTATTTCTGTCTAACCCTAACTTGGTCCCATATGAATAGCTTTGTATTTCTGTCTAACCCTAACTTGGTCCCATATGAATAGCTTTGTGTTTCTGTCTAATCCTAACTTGGTCCCATATGAATAGCTTTGTATTTCTGTCTAACCCTAACTTGGTCCCACACAAACAGCTTTGTATTTCTGTCTAACCCTAACTTGGTCCCACACAAACAGCTTTGTGTTTCTGTCTAACCCTAACTTGGTCCCATATGAATAGCTTTGTATTTCTGTCTAACCCTAACTTGGTCCCACACAAACAGCTTTGTATTTCTGTCTAACCCTAACTTGGTCCCACACAAACAGCTTTGTGTTTCTGTCTAACCCTAACTTGGTCCCACACAAACAGCTTTGTGTTTCTGTCTAACCCTAACTTGGTCCCACACAAATAGCTTTGTATTTCTGTCTAACCCTAACTTGGTCCCACACAAACAGCTTTGTGTTTCTAGTTACTTGATAAAATAGCTTTAAATCTGACCAGTGCCCAGCTGATATTAAAAGCAAGGAGTGACAAAGGCATGAAGTGACACATGAAGTGACACATGAAGTATTGCTTGAGAGGACAGAGAGCCTATCACATCTTGTATTGGTCCATTGTAAAAACAAACATGTACATACTGATATGATGAGACACACACACACACACAAGGTCAGTCATCGGGTGGTGAGTGGAACAACCTTGTGTGCATTATTTGATCAGTCAAACAAAGACATTGGTATTTGAATGAAACATGAGAAGGGGGAGGGGAGAGGTCAAATGATGTAGATTGTATAGAGTAGATAAATAAAGCACTGGTCTAGTCAACAATAGCCCGTGTCTTGCCGAAGTTCTGTCCCGCCTGGGACGCGCCTTTGTTGGAGCCCATCTGGAGGCCGATGATGTTCTGGCCGGCCTTCAGTTGCTCCTCTGTCCACTCGTGGGACTGACCTTTGGACTCGGCTTTACCAAATCCTTCTCGGCCTTGGGACAACATCTACACCAAGAAAAAATAATCAGAGGTCAAATCAGAGAAAAATAACAGTACCATCAGACAAAGATTATGGCTAACAACAGTTACAGTTGTATGTAATGAATGTGTAATGAATGAGCATAGACTTACAGCTGTGTGTAATGAATGAGCATAGACTTACAGCGCGCCCCAAAGCTTCGATTGTGATGATGACTGCACACATGTTCACCTTCTCATACAAATCGACTGTCTGAAAAGTTTCCGTTTTTTTCACGGGTCCGCCGTTGGCCTCATCGATACACTGGAGAAACAAACCAATCAGCTCCATCTGTTTGAAGGCCAAAGATGGCGCTTTCCCCATCTTTGTGGCAGCAATACTACCAGGCTTTACCCAATTAGCTAACCTACAAAAACAATGGGATTTGTTAGGCTAATTTACAAAAACAATGGGATTTGTAAGGCTAACCTACAAAGACAATGGGATTTGTTAGGCTAATTTACAAAAACAATGGGATTTGTTAGGCTAACCTGCAAAAACAATGGGATTTGTTAGGCTAACCTACAAAAACAATGGGATTTGTTAGGCTAACCTACAAAAACAATGGGATTTGTTAGGCTAACCTACAAGAGAACTGTGTACGGACTACCCACATAAAACATTATCGAATTGAATGAATTTGATCTACAGAACTCGTTTTCTGTATCAGAACAAACACAGCAGGTTCGTGTTTCTCCCCCCCCCCCCCACCCCTACAGTGTATAGTTAAATGGGACAGAATAGATCTCGCTGTTAATACAACGGTTGCTTGTGCGACTATCAATAGATTTTTGATTCACTTCTGCGGAACTTGTTTACAAGTTTGTACCGTTTCTTTTTGGACCTTCTGGAACTTTCAGCATCATCAGACGCAGATGAACACAGACAGGGTACTAACCCCCCCCCCCCCCCCCCCCCAACTGTATCATAGCCAGACGGCCAACAAAAAGTTTGGTCTACAGCCCCACCCATCTCTCCCCACCCACCCACCCACCCATCTCTCCCCACCCAGCTGTCCATACAAGAAAAAAAATATTTCCTGACTACCTGCAACCAGAGTTTCTTCCAGGCATCTCTTCGGGGGGGGGGGGGGGGGGGGGGCGCAAAGCCCCCCGAAATTTTTTTACCGCCCCCCCCCCTCCCCCCACCCCGAACGAAATGAAATTTATATAATTTATATAGAAAATATATACTTTTAACAGTGTCTCCCCCCCCCCCCGAAGAAAGTTTACCGCCGCCACCCCCCCCCCCCCCCCCCGCCCCGAAGAAAAAAGTCTGATTAACTTGATGAAAAATTGGATAATGTCGGGTGGTAGGCCTATACAGTGTCCATGTGATATCACACTTTCAACATATAACAATATTCAAAATTCGCAGTACATGCACACAGACACAAAAAGTTGACAAGCTGTAGACCCCCCCCCCCCCAACCCCCGAATGACGTAGTAGCTATGTTAAAACAGTTTAGATCCCTGTTCTCCTGCTCCCATTCATTCGTACAGCTTCTATCTAACACGCTGTCATTCGTACAGCTTCTAACACGCTGTCATTCGTACAGCTTCTAACACGCTGTCATTCGTACAGCTTCTAACACGCTGTCATTCGTACAGCTTCTAACACGCTGTCATTCGTACAGCTTCTAACACGCTGTCATTCGTACAGCTTCTAACACGCTATCATTCGTACAGCTTCTATCTAACACGCTGTCATTCGTACAGCTTCTATCTAACACGCTGTCATTCGTACAGCTTCTAACACGCTGTCATTCGTACAGCTTCTAACACGCTGTCATTCGTACAGCTTCTATCTAACACGCTGTCATTCGTACAGCTTCTATCTAACACGCTATCATTTGTACAGCTTCTATCTAACACGCTGTCATTCGTACAGCTTCTATCTAACACGCTGTCATTCGTACAGCTTCTAACACGCTGTCATTCGTACAGCTTCTATCTAACACGCTGTCATTCGTACAGCTTCTATCTAACACGCTGTCATTCGTACAGCTTCTAACACGCTGTCATTCGTACAGCCTCTAACACTATTGCACATTTCTAATGCACCATATCCGAATGAATGCGATCCTCACTTTGCTAAAACCATCCCATCTTTTAAAATTCTGTGGACATCTTCTGTTGTGCCGTCAGTAGAGATTGCTTCTCCGATGCGCTCGCCAATCCACCTCAAGGCGGTTCTGGCTCTCTCGACATCCCACTTGCTGTCCATCTGTAAAGACAAGCTCATTGGCTTAAGGTTGCATAAAGGGGTTTGGGAAGTCCAGAAAAGGTGATACACACACATACATATGTATTTATAGTCTTATTTATAACATTAAACAACCCACGTTCAGGAAATTTTCATGGTTTTATTGGTTCATTGATACAACGACTTCACTGCCAAAACATCGCCATTTTCTTCCCGCTCTCTCTTCCTTGCTTCCTTTTTTAGCGCATGCGCATACCCACACTATATTTTGGATTTATATCGCCTTTTTATGAAACATATTCGAAAGATACATTCACCTTCCATTCGACTGTTACATGTATATATACATATATATATATATATATATGTATATATACATATATACACATGTATATACATACATACATATATATATATATATATATATATATATATATATATATATATATATATATATATATATATATATATATATATATATATATGTATATACATATAGGCCTATATATATATATATATATATATATATATATACAGAGAGAGAGAGAGAGAGAGAGAGAGAGAGAGAGAGAGAGAGAGAGAGAGAGAGAGAGAGAGATCGTTCTATTTTAATTAATGCTACTTCCTGAACTACATTTTTATTACAGCCAATGTAGGCCCCTCTAAGCATCTTTAAAACCTTTGAAACTCACATTTTTGTGTTTATAAATATGGAAAGCTTATGATATGAGCATTAAAAATCCATTCATATTGCGATCAGTGGGTCTATACCTGTTTCTATTATGTTTTATAACGCTATATTGGACGAGGCCTACCACTAGCCTAATTGGCCTTTTTTCCCACGTTTTCTTTAACTTGCTTTCGTCTCTGTTTGTTTGTCTTTCCAATCAAATCTTGCGATCGAAATTTCTGGCACTTCCCAGTTAGCTAGCGCGCTGAAATTTTCAGGGAAGCTTTGTTTTGGATGACCATTGAATATGCAATTGTTATTATTACTAAATTGATCCATGGAAACATTTTATTGAGCATTTTAGACCGCTATATAATCTATATATATAATTCTCCTCTGCGAGCCATTAGAAAACAAGCTGCAAGCGCCTCCTTACAGTCCCCTCTCTTTCTCTCTATCACTATCACTACCACCCTACCCCACCCCCACATGGTCTGCTGAGCTGTGGTCACGTTAATGTTTACAAACCGTACAGCCAGGTTTAGTGACGGCTATTAGGGGCAGATAATTTAGTTTGAACCGACTTTAAACTTACAGGAGGTAACTAAGAGGAGGCTGCTTTCACGGGGGGGGGGGGGGGTGTAGGGTCGGGGTTAGGGGAAAGGAGGGGGGTTAGTGTTTTAAAGCAAATATTTTCAGTGGCAGCATTGGTACTGTCGAATTCACAAATTATGAATTACTGAAAAGTAGAAAATAAATCAACTAAATAGCGGCGTATGATACGCCGCGGGTCGGCTCGTTGTAGTAAAAACGTGGGGAAAAAGGGACATAACCCAGTAACTGTAATTTGTGTACAAACAACCGTAACAACTGGTGGCCAGTATGAGGGAGACGATATGGTCGAGTGGTTGGGCACACGATTGCTATCCCACTCGACACGGGTTCAAATCTATGTGTTCTAGTCAGTAACGTATTCACACAACGTGTTTTTACGAGTTGTCTTTTTACGAGTTGTCTTTTTACGAGTTGTCTTCGTTTACCCAAAAAAAAAGTGAAAAGATAAAATCGATAGCAAGATTTTAATGCAAACAAACAGACAAAGACTAAAAAGTAGAAAATAATAATCATTAAAAAAGTTTTTAAAAACCCACGTTTTCTGATTGAACTAAAAAGTAGAAAATAAATGCTATACATCACAATTATGCAAGCGATCACTCTACTATAAGCGATCAAAAACGTGGGGCGCCGTGATTTTCTTACAGTTTCTAATACTGTTGACTCTCTACAAGCTCACTAATAAAAGTCAATAGTATTATCTAATCAATAGTAATATAACTTTTACTTCGGCGCCCCACGTTTTTCATCGCTTATAGTAGAGTGATCGCTTGCATTATTGTGATGTATAGCATTTATTTTATACTTTTTAGTTCAATCAGAAAACGTGGGTTTTTTAAAACTTTTTTAATGATTATTATTTAAAAAAAACAATTAGACGGATAAGTCATAAACACAAGGGTCAGAGTTTAACAAGTTTTTCGAGTCTGTTTTGTTCTGTTACTTTAGGGGGCGCCATTTTGTTCTGTTACTTTAGGGGGCGCCATTTTAGGTAAATAGTTTCTGGAGAGAAAGCGATGACAGCTAATATTAATACTGTTGTGAACACACGGATACGCCTTTACGTGTGATCCAGTGAGTAACGCAACATTTAAGACGAGAAACCACAAACGGGTTACAAAACACACAACTGAATACAACAAGGGCTCGTTACCACTAAACACAGTTTAAAACTACCTACTTTATCTGCACAAATACAAGCTATTCTAAATATAACAAACTAGTATACAAACTACGATGCCGGGATTACATGACTGATACAACTCACCGCACGAGGACTGAACAAGGGCGAACGGGACACATTACAACATACATACAACATTCACCCCCATTCACTACATTTTAGAGGGAGGTCAGGCAGATTTTTGGAGCTATTTTCCTTTAAATATAAAGCCATTAGTTGGAAATCAGTTGTTGTTTTAACTCAGAAATCAACCTAGTTTTGCGTCATAAACAAATGCTGGTCTGGACTATAGGGCTGGTAAGTAGGTTGGTGACCTACTTACCAGCCCTTTAATATTATATGGAGCGGCGGTTTTAACTAAACAAGTTCTTTGTATGAGGTGATGACAGCTTATACTTATAATAGAGGGTTTATACCTGTTTCATATTTTGATAGAAAAGTAAATAAACCGGGAGTGATCTCCCCTAAACTTTCTCGAATATTCTAATATTACACTACGGGGGATGGCAACTCGGGACATAAACAATATTTTTAATCCATTTATAATTTCTTAAACTTTTTATAATAGAATAGAATCTCGTAAAAAAAAAAGAATTGCACACCAAGTGAGCGCCAATAAAATGTGCATAATAGTGCGGGATATTATTAGTACTTTATAAATTCACATGCGTTTTTTTTTGTTGAGAAATCGGAAATAGCGTAAATCACTACTTCCGGTGTTTACACACACACAGACAAGATTCCAACTCAGGGAGCCCTAAAACGTCGAGATTTGCAAAAATCTCGACTTTTTTTTTTTCTTTTACTCTCTCTTTTATACGAGGTATAGAGAAAGTCTTGTAATCGTACAAAAATAAATAAATCGAGATTTGTAAAATCTCGACGTTTTACACCTCACTGATACGGAAAAACATAATTTTGCAATCTTGTCCGTAGGTCTGTGTGTGTGTAAACACGATAACTTGAGTACCGTTACAGCTAGGTTGATGAAATTTCATACATAAGTATTTTATCAAAATCGTATCAACGTTTGAACGATTTCCGATAACCGGAAGTGGTACTTTTTCTACTTTGAATTTTTCAAAAGCCTATAACTTGAGTACTGTTTCAGATAGATAAATGAAATTTCACATGTAAATAAAAGACCTAATTCTCTAACTTCTGTCAAATTTTGAGTAATTTCCGTTGACCGGAAGTACTAATTTACGCTATTTTTGATTTCTTAATAAAAAAAACGCATGTAAATTTATAAAGTGCTAATAATATTGCGCACTATTATGCACATTTCATTTGGCGTTCACCTGGTGTGCAATTCTTTTTTTCTACGAGATTTTATTCTATTTTAAAAACTTTAAGTATTTAAAATGGAGTTACCATCCCCTGTTGTTTTATATAAGAATATTCGAGAATGTTTAGGGGAGATCACTCCCGGTTTATTTTGTTCACGATTACAAGACTTTCTCTATACTTCGTATATATGAGAAAGTAAAAATAACAATTACTCGTAAAGTGAAGTTTCACTATGGTTTGCACGAAAAAAATTGAGGGCCCCTAAAATCGGGGGGCCGTTTGCAGCTGCCCTCTCAGCCCCCCCCCCCCCCCCCCCAATCCGCTACTGCATAATTATGTTCATGTATTCACATGTTTTATTATATTTTTCAATGTTTATTATATTAAAGAAATTTCGTTTTAAAATTATATATTTTTTATAGAATAGTTATTTGCAATATATTGAATAAACTATTACAAACTCCTTCAAAATTAAACATAATATTATGCTATTTGCATATAATAAAAAACCATGAAGCAAGTTCATGAAAACTAAATTGGTATAAGAACTCGCATGAATGTGTTTAGAATATACTTCGATCATGTGGCGTCTTTCGTGGAGGAAAGTAGGAAAACGAATTAATTGTAATCAAGCATCGATTGAAGTTAGCTATCTAACACGGTCTGAACTGACATGACCCCTCCCTAATCCTAGCCTTAGCTAAACTGGTCAATTCTGAGGAGGGGGGAGCGCTACGTGGGTAAGAACACAAGCAGCAGAGACGCCCAGTGGCACGCGGACCGCTCGAGTCCTTATAAGGACAATATGTCGCCGTTGGACTTACAGCGAATTAGGTCACACGGCCGATGACTCATAGCGCAGATCTCACTAGGAAAAAACCTGACTTGGCCACTAACTATTGCGGTGTGTGTACGTAGACTGTGGGTCGATTTTTTAAAAAGATTCTCAGACTAAATGGGTGGGTTCGGCAAATATTTACACCTGCAAGTCATTTGACTTATTATTGAAACATTTTTTTTTACAGTCGCAGAGCTCAACTAAAATGTAGCCCCTTATCCTGTAAATGTGGCCCCTTATCCTGAAAATGTGGCCCCTTATCCTGAAAATGTGGCCCCTTATCCTGTAAATGTGGCCCCTTATCCTGAAAATGTGGCCCCTTATCCTGAAAATGTGGCCCCTTATCCTGAAAATGTGGCCCAATGTAGCCCCTATAGCTCATGTTTACAAGGGACAAAGCACTTAATGGTTAAAGGTCAGACAAGACCTCCAACTTCACGTTGTCATGGCAACACATTGTTTGACTTTGATAGGTCACGAGTAAACAATCGTCATAGTCAGGACATCAGAAGATGAGTGTGTACAGAGTATACAAAGAAAACGGTGTATGCACACATTGGGGTGGGGGTGGCCACCATTAGGATCGTGAAGGTGTATGTACATTCGAGGGGGGGGGGCGGCTTCTCTAAGGATCGTGCACGGTGGTTAGATTGAAGAATGATTCAAATGAAAGAAACCCCTTCTGTCTGTCATGTCAGTCACCCTCCAGCTTGAACATTATGACAAATGACAATTGGTAATGAGACAGCTTTAGATACCCCATCCCATCCCTTTTGGTGTTTCGATTTATCCAGCCTCATAAAGTATCGACCAACCATCCGCCATTCCCTCACCCATATTTGCGCTCAATGTTTGATCCAGGTAAACGGAGTATCGGGTGAAATATGTGCTGTGTCATTATGTCATGTCGTGTGCTGTAGTATGGGGTGAAATATGTGCTGTGTCATTATGTCATGCCGTGTGCTGTTACTGTGGCCTAGGGCACCACAGACTTTTAGCAAGGTAGATACCAAACCTTACGTTGGCGCTCATTTAGAGAACTTTCGCTCACAAGTAATGTTTCAGATAAGCGGGAGAAATTACAGACGTAGATTTATTATTCTATCTCACCATTTGAGCGATTACCGGTAACCGGAAGATGTATTTTCCGATTTTTCGAAAATCTTCAAACTTTGCTAATTTTATTTGATACTCTCATTGAAATATCCTAAGAACTTTACGCCTTTGTTCTGTCACAAACTTCAATGTTTGTATAGTCCAATTAAAGCTGTATAAGAATATTAGCTTACCCGTGGCAGAAGAAATTCAATGACACTCCATATGATAATATTCAATTGATACAAATGATGTATTTGTAAACGCATGACCTAATTTTCTGCGGGGAGCTCTCGGGTCGGTAAGAAAGTGCTAAAGACCAAAATGACGAAACATTTTATAAGGTTACATTGTCAATCGCGTGTCCTTATTTCTTCATGCATCTTACACATTCTTAGATGTTACGGGGTGGGTTTGTCTACACTCCCGCCCACAAGCCCCTGTGCATGCTGTATAAATGCTATTAGTGTAAGCTAATCACCAAGGAACAGTGCTATAAGAGTCGTATTAAAAGTATCAATTTTCACGCTATCGTCAGCAATATATATATATATATATATATATATATATATGTAGATATGTAGATATATATATATATATATATATATATATATATATATATATATATATATATATATATATATATATATATATATATATATGTAGATATGTAGATATATATATATATATATATATATATATATATATATATATATATATATATATATATATATATATATATATATATATATATGTAGATATGTAGATATATATATATATATATATATATATATATATATATATATATATATATATATATATATATATATATATATATATATATATATATATATATATGTATATGTATATATATATATATATCTACATATCTACATATCTACATATCTACATATATATATATATATATATATATATATATATATATATATATATATATATATATGTATATATATATATATATATATATATATATATATATATATATATATATATATATATATATATATATGTCGATTCAAAGGGGCGCCAAACGCAGTAGATAATAATATAAAAAGTTCATTACTGAATCATAGACAGTCGAAATAAAGAATGTTGACTGCTACTTGGCATTATTTAATTGTTTTCTACATCAATTGCTTGACACTAAAATAAAAAGGCAAAATGGCTGGTAAAAAGCGCCCCGAAATTTCCTAGTGAGGGAGGTTGGTGGCGCATTTTCACCAACGCGAATAACTATATTTAGACCTAAGTTGAAGAAGGTGCGCAAATAGATCGCCACGCCTTTTTATTTCACCCTAAAGTTTAAATAATGTAATCAAAGTTATTCATTATTAGGTACTTTTTATTATTGGAGATTACACATTTTTGAGCCCCCCTTCCCCTATGGATAGCGCCGACCCTGGGAAGTTGCACAATCAGCGAGTGGAAATCAACAATTATTCGAACCTTATCAAATGTTTTATGGGTAAAGACCTCTCATTTGTACTCAAAATGATGCCGCTCATTTAAGGTGGTTTTTACTACATATCTTTACAAGGTATTTATATGTGAGTAAATGTTCTAGTTGCAAGAACGACTGTTAAGATACTAAGAGTAAAAATACAAGACTAACGTGTTTATCTATTTATATCGTAAGCTATACTAAAGTGCCATAATTTAATTTTTGTCCATTATTTACTATTGCACTAAAACTTGGTGTCGAAATCTTGAATGCCTGTCTGTATTTTGTTATTGTCAGCTCGACTATAAATATCTGCATTTTTTTAATAACATGTTTTTAATATTTACTATTTTGTTGTTGTCAGCTTGACTATAAATAGGCCTATCTTAGTTGTTTTTAATTACATTTTTTTTTAAATTGTACTATTTTTGTATCGAACTATGAACGTGTTATAAAGGTAAGTGTTTTAGTTGTATAGTTACTTCAACTGAAAGAACCAATTCCCTACATTTTGCTATAATTATCGCGTATTATTTTTTATCAGAGAATTTCGGTCGATTTTTTTTTCTTGAGGTTTGAGAAACGGATTAATTTGGTCCAGAAATCTAGTTGTCTCATGTGTAGTCCTGAGTGTGATAATATAACTGTAGGACATGTAAAATAATTGTAGGACACGGTTCATGTAGAGCATTATGTGATATAACTGTAGGACATTATTTATGTAGGTCAATATGTAATATAAATGTGGGACATTATTTATGTAGGACCATATGCCCTACGACTGTAGGACATTATGTAGGACCATATATCATACTACTGTAGGACATTATGTAGGACCATATGCCCTACGACTGTAGGACATTATGTAGGACCATATGCCATACTACTGTAGGACATTATGTAGGACCATATGCCCTACGACTGTAGGACATTATGTAGGACCATATGCCATACTACTATAGGACATTATGTTGGACGATATGCCATACGACTGTAGGACATTATGTAGGACCATATGCCATACCACTGTAGGACATTATGTAGGACCATATGCCATACCACTGTAGGACATTATGTAGGACCATATGCCATACCACTGTAGGACATTGTGTATATAGGAGGATATGTGTAGAACTGAAGACTGCTCAACGAGTGAAAAATAGTGTGTTAAGTCTGCTATCAATACCAAACATAAAGCCACACCAGCACATCATTGATAAGCTAACACGACAGGTGTGCAGAGGGGTATGTTGAGGTGAAGAAACACACTTCATAAATAGCTTTTCATTTGACAGTAAGTGGAAAACTGGCATGACACGGCTGTTGACTGACGGACACAGATTAAGCCACCGTGACGGGTTCAAGTACAGGACAATACGTTATTACATAGTACCCAGCATTGGCCTGTCTTACAAACAGCAAGGATTGGCTAGTCTTAAATTGTTGACGACACGTCTCAGGGTAGGCACTTTGTGGCTCTTTGGAGTGGGAATGTGGCTTTTTTAATAAACAAAATAATGAGCTAAAAGATACAAGGCTTGGGTAGGACGTTCAGGGTTTAAACCACGGACAACAAAGCGGCCAAAAGCTTCACCGACAAATTTAAGGGAACGGACAATCGGACATAATGTTTAAGTTTAGGGGATGGGTGTAAATCTGTAAATGTGTCAGTGTTCGAATTCCCCACAATAATGAACTCTTCTTAAAAAGGGGTGTTGATTAACTAGATCTAAATAATACTAAATATAAACATGACTCTCTAATCAACTCTAATGTAAGAACTATACTTATTTACACAATTAGATCTTAGATCTAATTAATTATATCTAATTAATTATATCAATATTCTATAATTTATGGAAGAGAGTGAAGAGACTATTATCGCACATCAGTGATAGTGAGTGATACCACAACTAGAGACTAGATCTATCTGGTTTCATTTTTTGTTATCTTTAAGTCTATAGGTCAAGGGGAACTTTTACGGAACCAACCATTCTGCGGTTAGTTCTATTTATAGAAATGATTTCACATTTAAAATGGATGTAGAATCTATAGGCCTACGCTTGTTTGACCGGCGCGGCTGGTCTCGCGATGAAAACAAACAGAATGTTGAACATACCTTTTGCTGAGCCTCTAGGGCGATCCCACTCTTAGCTGCACGGTGTGACATTGTGGAATTAGATTTTATTAGCGAATTTCACACTTTAATCAATGCTAGTGTCCAGGATCCACACGACGAATGGTATTTTCCTGGTCGTGTCAGCTCGTTTTGAAACCAGACGATTTGCGTCGGCGACTCGCCTTGTTGACACTCAACGGCCGCGCGGGAAGAGTGCATGACGTCATCGGTTCGCTGCGGATTGGCTGCTGTGTTCGGAGGTGTAACCTTATTGACGAAAAAAGAGGGTTTTCGTTGTGAACAATGAACGCCCAGCTAGGCCTAACTTAGTTCAAACGTTTCTTCTTTTAATATTTGGACGAGGAATGGTGTTTATTTTTAGCTTAAGAAAAGAGACAGTTTAGAATAAATAATGCTGCTTGCGCATAGCTTAATGGTTCTCAATATAACTCAATATAAAGCAAACACTGAGCAGAACTCAGTCTCATACATTTAGAACCGCTGCTTTGGGGGTGTGTGTACACATCAGTGTGTAGCCAGCACTAGAGTGTAGTACTTAATCTCACAAATTTAGAACCATTGTATTAGGGTATAGTCCGCACTATAGTGTAGAAGTCTCACAAATTTAGAACCGTTGTATTAGGGTGTAGTAGTCTCACAAATTTAGAACCGTTGTATTAGGGTGTAGGAGTCTCACAAATTTAGAACAGTTGTATTAGGGTGCAGTAGTCTCACAAATTTAGAACCGTTGTATTAGGGTGTAGCTCGCACTAGAGTGTAGTACTTAGTCTCACAAATTTAGAACCATTGGATAAGGGTGTAGTAGTCTCACAAATTTAGAACCGTTGTATTAGGGTGTAGTAGTCTCACAAATTTAGAACCGTTGTATTAGGGTGTAGTAGTCTCACAAATTTAGAGCCGTTGTATTAGGGTGTAGCTTCTATTTACATGGGTTAAACATTCCTCGAGTTGCGCTACCCAATCCCAGAAGTCCACTGAACTTCCTTATATGGATGTGCCAAACGTTCCACCTGTAGACCTTCATTCACAGATCTCTGACCCACTCATCCTGTGGTGTTTTAACGGTGTTTTAACGCTTGCTTGTGTGGTCTTAGCTTCAATACTAAATCGTCCTCCATATAGAGGATCACCAGTAGAGGACCCTAAGTAGAGGACAGTAGAGGACCACCAATAGAGGACCACAAGTAGAGGACCGCCAAAATCTGATCGTCTGCTGTCAGCTCCACCTTAGCGCTACACGACACATTCAGCACTTGACCTACATTCGTCTCGCCCAACGGTTCAAAGTTCAACTGGAATAGTGGCTAGACACCAGCAACCATTGTTTATATTATGACGTCAGTCATGGGCGCCTGGGGCACACCAACTTCAGGAGTTACTCACACACAAACACGCCATACTCACACACAAACACGCTAAATTATACTTAACACACACCCTCCTATACAACACACACACACACATTAAAAATACGTAATACAAGCCACACCCAAGCGGAATTTTAGTTGGATTCTGTGGCCTAGCCAGATGATTGTAGGAAAAAAAGTCACAGGAAAAAAAAACACAGGAAAAAAAAACACAGAAAAAAAGTCACAGGAAAAAAAGTCACAGGAAAAAAAGTCACAGGAAAAAAAGTCACAAATATATATTTGCATGATATTTGTTAATACTTTTATGTATTAAATATTTTGAGAGTGCAAATTAACTTAGGATTAATTAAATGTAATGTAATGTGTGTAGGCTGTATACACATAGGAATGTTTATAATTCATCTTAAAATATTTATTATGAAGTATGTAGATTGTAATTATTTTAAACTTAAGATTAGTAGCATTTAATAGAATGCTCCAAAGTCCAAGGTTTTCATCGTGTTTTTTTTTTAAATACCAATATTAAATTACAGTGAACTGGTAAGTTCATCTGACTTGCTGCCCTCAACTCATCGCAACAATAGTTATGTTTAGTTCAACCACCTTTACTGCCCACATTTATCACGCTCATTACATAACAAAACTTAGGATCAAAACAGAAAGCCGACAAGGTTCAAAGGCTGTCATTGACGCGTAACGTCAACAACACAAAATATGTTCGGACAATGCCTACTGAGGAGAGGCCGACCAGAGAATAGCCTACGGCAAAATCTGCCTAAATTTCTTTTATAATTAACTTTTCTACCGCGTATTTAAATAAATACGTAACAAGTTGAGATTGTTGTGTAAATTATCTTAGAGTATTTTTACTTACAATTGTTATAAATCATAATGCTTTTAACGTCTATAAATAATTTATGCTATCAAAAAATACAACCCACAACAATAAACATACAAAATTTTACAATTCTTAACAAATTAATAAAAATATTTCTAAAAAGATTTTTGTGACTTTTTTTCTGTGACTTTATTTCTGTGACTTTTTTTCCGATAAAATTTTTCCACTGTGACTTTTTTTCTGTGACTTTTTTTCCTAGCAAAAACTGTGACTTTTTTTCTGTGTTTTTTTTTCCTGTGACTTTTTTTCCGTTTACCAGCCAGATAGGCCTACTGATCTTTTTTTTCAATTGTGTTTAGTGGATTTTGAGAGCGTAAGATTGTTAGCATACATGACATTTAATTTCAAATTTGAAGACAATGACCATCAAAGGTGTTCAACCAAATAAATGAAGCATTTTTCATTTTTACTTTCTCGTATATACGAAGTATAGAGAAAGTATTGTAATCGTGCACAAAAATCACTTGAAATTTTAACAATTTTCACCGTATTACACCTCAGTCCTTCATCACATCCGAAGTATAGAGGACTTATTTAAACCGGGCAAAAAATATCAATCCAGATTTATTAAAATAAAGAGGTTTTATGCGTAATCCAGTCTGAAAAACACTATTATGCACTTTTTACTTTCTCGTATATACGAAGTATAGAGAAAGTATTGTAATCGTGCACAAAAATAACATGAAATTTTGACAGTTTTCACCGTTTTACTCCTCAGTCCTTCAACACATCCGGAGTATAGAGGACTTATTTTAATCGGGCAAAAATTATCAATCCAGATTTATCAAAATTAAGAGGTTTTAGGCGTAATCCAGTCTGAAAAACTGGGCTTTGCAATTCTGTCCGTTTTCTGTGTGTCTGTCTGTGTGTGTGTGTAAACACGATAACTTGAGTACCGTTACAGCTAGGTTGATGAAATTTTATATATAAGTATTTTATCAAAATCGTAGATCCGTATCAACTTTTGAGCGATTTCCGATAACCGGAAGTGGTATTTTTTCTACTTTGAATTTTTTATTTGGCGTTCACTTGGTGTACAATTCTTTTGTCTACGAGATTTTATTATATTTTTAAAACTTTAAGTATTTAAAATGGATTAAAAATCATGTCTATAGCCCGAGTTCCAATCCCCTGTTGTTTTATATAAGAATATTCGAGAAAGTTTGGGGAAAATCACTCCCGGTTTATTACTACAAGCTTTTAATTTATATAACTTGCTTCCTATGTTACTACAAGCTTTTAATTTGTACTAGACTTACCCGGTCATCCCTTGGATAACTGTTGGTTTCGGGGGGGGGGGGGGGTCATCCATAAATGACATCACGTCTGTCAATTATCATCACAAAATAACCAGACCCCATATTCAAAAAGACGTTTTTTATCTTTTAAAAACACCGATTTCGGCTGAGCATAGGTCTGACCACACTATCCCTTCATATACGACGTCACAGGTGACCATCTCAACTCTACTTCACCTGCCCAGGGTCCCGCCAAGTCTCAGACCACATGTTTTTATCGTTTAAAAAACGATTCCGACCGAGCATGTCTCTGAGCACACTATCCCTTCATATGCTTAGGACAAAGAAACAGATGAACTCTACTTCATCTGCCCTGTATCCCGCCAAGTTCAGATAGTCAAATTTATCATCCACATCTAAAAAAATTGAAAAAAAAAATAACATTGACGTGATATGTCTAGAACACGTGCCACCCGCATAAAAGCCTATTACACTAACACTTAACTGTCTAGACCCGTGACGTCACTTATGCTTTTTGTGGTATAACTTAATACTATAAGTCTCTTTATGCAACTTGATTTACGCGCATAGGCTCTATCTAGATCTAGATCTAAGTCTAGTAATTATCAAATTAAATTTTATCTTAAATTCGCCAATTGCATAGCTAAACAAACAAAGATTTATAAAAAATAATGAAGGTCTGAAATAGATTCTATATCTAGATGTAAAATTAACATTAAGTCTAGATCTAGAATTTACGTTATGTCTAGTGACCTAGATCTAGATTCATAACTTTTTTCTTCCTTCGACAGCTGATCTGTAGATCTAGAGAAATTTATTGTAAAGTTAAATGAAAAAGACATTTGAAAATTGATATAAGTACTGGAACGTAATAAATACAGCAAACGGACGTATTGTGAAAGTTATAGCCGACAGAAAATTAGCTTTAGAATGCGTTAAACATTGGAATGGGAACTCAATCTTCTTCGATAGAAGCCGCCATTGATTGTACTAAAAAGTGAACAAATCATGAGACGTTACTATTCCGTCAAAGTAAAGCCATTGTTTGAAACTTTTAAAATTAATGTGGTTAATCTACCAATAAACTAATTAACGTCTTTAAATAAATTAGTGATTAACAGTCTGTCTAAAAACAAAAATTGTTCTCTACCTACATACTATTTTACAGCTCTACACATAGTGCAGATTCTCTCCAGTAGCCAATCAGACAAACAAATAAATATTCAAACATGTAAGCAAACTTAAGTTTTAGTAGTATAAAGATAACTTGCTTCCTATGTCCGGTGTGCGTTTGTCTTTCTGTCGAAACGGGAGAGCGAAATTTCGAGCACTTCTCACTGATCGATTTGTCTCAAAGTTGGCGAGATCGTTATTACAGTTCTAACCATGAGTGCATATATTAATGATCAGTGCACATGTATTTGCACTTTGCAGTCAGCTGGCAATAAACTCTTATTAGAGTCTACGGGGAAAAACCGTGTTACATCCTCTAAATTATGTCGACGGTTTATGGTGGTTATTGATTACATAGTTTACAGATTATAGTTGTGAAGAACGACTGTCAAGAGAAGGAGGATGAGAATGCAAGACTAGCATGGTTATCTATTTAGCCTACGTAGTGAATTTACTAAGCAACTGTATTTTGTTAAATACACAGTTATAACACAT